ATATATATATATTGCTCATAGTGACAAACCAACAGTGAATGAACTCTCGACTCAGCAGTTCCTCTCAAGTCCACCAAACCTTTTAGCCTTTCTCATCAGTATCGTTTCTTGATGAAGCAGGCAGTTTTTTTCAGAAAAAAAGCCCTTAAAATTATTTGGAGGGAGTTTCAGCTGGGTGGTAGTTCCTGCTAATTATGCCATTTAAAAATAACTGGTGTGACGAGCCCAGCAACGGAGCACAAAAACATAATTCCCTGCTGTGTGATTAAAGTGCAAAATCAGAATTCCTGCCAATGAGACACTGCAGCAATGAATAAACAGCAGTGCTGCGGTGTGCACTGCCAATTATTGAAAATATACTTACGTCTTCGTCTGAGGAGGAGGCGCAGGATCATGTCTCAAAAAAAGGAGATTATGCGCCACAGCCCAACAGCAACCCTGGTGGCCTTAATTAAATTTCATCATTATTAAATTAACAAATAAGAAAAAAATAATTTCCCCCACTTTAAGGGGAAAGCATTTAAATGTTGTAAAGTCAATATCATCCTGAATCTGTTATTTTCTTTAACATGCAAAATGATGGCACTGTAACTGACCCTCCAAACCAGAAGGTCGGCTTAAGATAAAATATAAAAAATAGGTTATGATACATATAAGCCTTCTGATGGAACAGGTCAAACGTTTATAAAGTTATGTTTAAGTGTGTATTAAATGTTTTTGGGTAAGAGTTTGGGTTACAATTTAAGTAAGAGCATTGGCTGGAGAAAGTTTACAACATCTGTAATTTTTTTTTCCTTAAATTTCTCATATTCCAGATATCTAGACTTAAGTCAAGCCTTCAGTTACACAAAAACAGGACTTGAGATTTGACTCTCTGAAGACTGAACAAACAATCTGTCGGTCCAAAAATATCAGTCTCCCATTCATTGTCTAAGGAGCAGCTCCAGAATTAATACTTGATGACATCACAGGCTTGAAGAGAGAGTAGCTCATGTTCACAAATATTGATTGAACTTCAGGCCATGGAAATAACATATTGGAATTCTTAATTTAGGTGATGTCCCCCTTCAAAACAACTGTTTGTATATCGATAGTTGGGCATGTACCTGTAAAGTTGACTTTTTAATGATTTTCTTTGACACGCTATACTACGTACGCATACAAGGAATTTACTTTATTTGATAAGCAATACTTTTATTTTGTTTTACTGTTTCGACATACTATACTATGATTTTTTTCGACATGCTATACTAGACTATACTTTTTTATATCATGATTTATTTCGACATGCTATATTGCGACTTATTTCGACATACTATTCTGACTTTTTTATGACGTCATTAACGGACAAGTCAGAATCAATGTAATTAACACAATGACAAGAACCAGTCACATATTTATGACAACATAAAATGTCAAGCATGACAAATCAACCCAGCAGCGCTAGAGCACGAGCCATTCATATTATTCATAAAAACGACACGATAGACAACTGAACACAGTAGTAGCGCTACTGCAGATGTAAAAAAACAAAAGCAGTTGACTTACCACAGCTGCTGTTCACTTTAAGACAAAGTCCATCCTCCTTTCTTTGTTAACAAAGTCTAACTCCCAATTCCATTTCTCCTCCTCCTTCAGCCATTGAGTGTTAAAAAAAACAAAGCTAGGTAAAAAAAAAAAGAATCTATACCAAGCAAAACGCTAAAAATGTCATAACTTCTCTTACATACAGTATGTTTCAACCTGAACTCGTAGTAAACACTAGGATCTGCTAGCTAGCTTTCTGTTTGACAAAATTCACGCTGGCCCACTGACCAATCACGGCGCATGTTAATGCAGACGTACTTAGCAGGCTACCTGGGTAGCAGTCGCACGTCAAAGAACACGCCCAACATGTCAAACTAAAGATCTGATTGGTTGAAGACTATGACAATCAACAATATCGTCCTCATTCACTTAAACTGCAAAGTCTACCGGAGGACCTCGGGCCTCTCTCCTTACGTAGAGACATAGGGGCTGAATCTGATTGGATAAAAGCTCTCCTTAAAACAAGCTGTGCTGGAAGCAGCGCAACAGGAAGACAGGAGCTGTGCAATGACAAAATAAGCTAATGGGAAAAAAATTATAATACATGTAGTGCATTTGTGAAAACTTATTAAATTATAAAATAGCTATAACTTTGTGATTCTGTTTAGGCCAGCAGAGAAGGCTTAGCTATATACTATGACCTTTTATGACACATTTTGTATGACACTGATTCGTTATTTAATTTTGGATCAGTCAAAACATAATATTCCATAGCTCATTAACAACTAAAAGGAAAATGTCCTACATCTTGATTGATATCACATTATAAATGTACATGGTGTTTTCACCCATCCCTCAAAATGGCATCTAATAATCAGGAGGGATTAGTAGATACTGAAAGGTCTTTTTCATTATTTTTCCATCCTTAATCCAAGGATTTTGTAACAGAAACGGCTCGTTGAATCTCTGGGCTACTGAACACACAAAACACTGAAGAGCTGGCGATTAGCAACCCACTTTAATCCCTATGAAATAAAATTTCCTTGATCGATATCATTTGGACACAGGAACACATTTGTGGCCCAAAATTTCTGTTGTGGTGACAGAAAAAAGAAAAAGAAAGGTGTAACATTTACACATTTGATTCACAATACACAGGGCCTGCAGTATGTGCACGGTGACAGTGTTGGGAAACTTAGTCCATCAGTAGTAGCACCTGTGAAGCACAAAATGGTCATATCCGGGAAAAGAAATATGTATTTAAAAGTACAAACTAAGTAATATGCCTTTGAAAATCTGGCCAAAAAAAATCATTTTAGATCAGCCAAGTTTGTGAATTCTATTCATAAAATGAACATAGAAATGATACAGAAATAGAAAAAAAAAACATTAATATACAATATTGACTTATACAATTTAAACCAAGAATGATGCAACATATTTCCAGATTGTAGGGTTCCTACAAATACATAGCTTCCTTATTCCAAATATTAAACATTTTCCAGACTTTGATCCTTTAAATTTACCTCATAGTTTGTGCCAGTTGAAGTGCTAATAGGAGAAAGCCGATAGTAAACAAAGAGATCACTCGTTGTAGTGGACAAACTGTTAACGTTAGATCTATGACAATAAGCAAAGGATATTCCTGTTCCAATTACGACTGAGTAACATTCTCGAGGCTGTTCTGCATTTCCTAGATTTGGACGATATAATGAAATTTATTTCCCTAATGTAGGAACCCTGAGACAGTTTTGGGTGTGAAAAGTGGAGCTGCCAAATGACAGTTTGAATGATGCCAATACATAAAGGTCTTATTTGTTAACTACCATGACACATCTTCACAACGTTTCTATGCATCCCGCAGACAAATGTACTAGTGTTTGCATTCAACATAGTTCTTCCATCACAAATAATTAGTTCAATATTTGACTAAGACATTTAAATACCGAGTTCCCCCAACAATACATTTGTTTACCTCATTCTCCCCATTTACCTCTTGCAATCTGACAGAAAAACACCTCACTGAGAATATCCTGAAGATGGACGTGATCATTTATTTCCACCAAACGGTTTCAAAGCCACGAGTGGCTAGATTGAAAAATAGATATTTTGTTGCTGGTTATTTGATTTAAAAAAGGAAAATAAAGCTCCACAGGGGGCCTCAGTGCTGAGAGGCTGTAAAAGTAATTAGCACACTCCCATTTTTTTTAGTACAGGAAGCTGTTATTGAATTAATGCAACGAGGTATGGAGTTTAAGATGGAGGAAAAAAGCACAGCAGCTGACCAAAATCGGAAAAACCCCACACGGCGCCAAAAAAATTTATATTAATAATAATAATAATGTTAAAACTAAAAAAAAAAACCTTCTTTAGCTGCTGCTTCAGAGCAAGCTAAAGCACCACTGCAAATACATTAACTCAAAAATAGAAAACTAACATGCATTAAAAGAGTGCTTGTGTGTCTTTTTTTCACTCCCGCCCTGAACTCTTAGAGCCGGTGGAGTAAATGTTGTGTCCATTAATACAGCACTAAGTAGAATCCACCTCCATAGGCTTACTTCCTAACGGCTCAGCCTCCACTGGCAGAGTAATAATATAGGGGAGTCACTTGTTAATACATGGGTCCTTGACTACTGTCCTGAGTGAAATGTGAATGGAGGAGGGTCTCCATGTAGGAAACGTCGACTGAAAAAGGGGTCGACTGTGGCGTCAGCGTGGGGTCCGAAGCCAGGGTTGACTCCGTTAGAGCATCGGTGAGAGCGACGCTCATGTCCATTGGGGTCTCAGCGTCCATCTGAATACCATCGGTTGGGGCCGTGGTGGGCTGGGATACAGGTAGTGATGTCGGTAGTGTATGAATACTGTGATCTTCTGCTGCTTGTGCTCCTACCGGGGCTGTAGTTAGGGAGCAGGCAGGTGTGTTGGTCATCTCCACGGAGGTTTCGGCCATTGGGGCCGAGACTGAAGGCAGGCGCCGGCGTTTGGCTGCTTTGGCTTCATCTGCTGATGAAACCTCCTCCTGTGGTACAGGTATGGCCTGAAAACAAACGGGTACAGACTTAGTCGGATGGAGGACACATGGGGACCATCAGGAGTTTCTGTGTCCGAATTCACTCCCCATTTACTTTTGTCCATGACATGTACACTACCTTCTGCCAACAACCCCACAATGCAATGCTCCACACGGTTGTGTGTCTCTACACCTGTCAGTGATGAGGCACAATAATAATAAGCAAGTGTCCAAAAGTAGTAGAAGTAGTGAATGACATGATTTGGGCGGACACAGTCATAGTATTTTGCACCCAGCAGCACCACTACTGACACTGTTCTACAGCAAGTACAGTTTAAGGGCCTTTCACACGTTGCATCTATTAACGCGTGTAAATCGACAGTAATTAAGCAGTAAGCCTTCCTGACTAAACTGAACAGAATTCCCAGCACCATAGCTTTACTGCTTGATTTGTCTGTAACAATTTGTCTGACCTTTCAACCGGATGTTACATCATTGGATGGCAAGTGTGAAGCAAGAAAGATATTCTGTAACCACTTTTGTGTCCTTGTATTAACCAATGCGAGCTATTGTTCAACTGCCCTTTCTTAGCATTTGCCTCTGCAACCAATTCTGAAATCGACCGCGTCAACAAAGAGATACATCTTCCTAACTAAAGTGTCTTCTTCTTGTATATTATTACAGCATGTAGGTGTGTGAGCACAGTAGAAAGCAGAATTTCAGTAATATACTCACTAGTCTGGCTCTGACCCTCTTCGGCAGTTCCTGGTCCAGCTGATGGATCTCTGAGTGTTTTAGTATCAGCTGGCTCTGGTCCTGGAACTCAACCTGGGCAGATAACAAAACATGTGTTAAGAAACTGACATCTCCAACCGGTTTGTCTTCAGAGAGTAGAAAGCACAGTTGGAGAAGAGCAAAAGTATAATATCTAATTACACTCAACCTGACCAATAATAATAATAATCTCTATTTAAATAGCACTTTTCTTAACAAGGTTACAAAGTGCCTTACAGAAAGAAGAGCAATCCAACAACAGGAATCATATAAATAAAAATACCAAAGGATAAAAAATTAAGTGAAACAATATATAAAATGGCCCAGCAACACATTACATATTCATAAACGCTGTCATATAAAAGAGAGTTTTCGGAAGGGATTTAAAAAATGCTAATAATGTGGCATGTCTGATTTAAATAGGCAAGAGTGTTCCATGGCTTGGAGGGCTGTATCAGCAGGAAACTACATAGTTTGCAAAGAACAAGAAGAAGCAACCATGGGTAGTGAAGAAAAGAGTAGCAGGGTGGGTTCGTGAGCAAAAATTCAAACATGTACCCAGAAAGTCACAGATGTCTCATCCATAGCAAATAGTTCCATCAACAACCACCAAAATGTCTTTGACCGTGGCCCTGAAGCCCCGAAGCCCTTTTAAAAGTTAAAAACAAAACAAATACAAGGACACGGTCAGGGTTGTGGCCCTGACACAGTGACCAGCTGGAGACTTGTTTTTAATTCATTGTAACAGCACTTCTTGTCTCCAACGGGATTCTCAGTACTGCAGCCAGTGGGCGCAGATGGGAAGGGAGCAGAGAAAGACACAACACGGACTCACTTTCTGAAGAGGAACGCATTGCAAAAACATACAAGAAAGGAGTTTGTGGTGCATTAACATACTACATGCCACCCGGGGACACACGAATGAGAAGCTATATAAACTGTCCTAAGCTCACCTTTACACTAAATGAAAAAAAACTGAACAGCTAGTTCAATATTTTACACATTAGAGTCAAATTATTTCACTGATGTTTTTACTCAGACTGCATGAGCCATGTAGGGTTCACTTGTTCAGCAATTGATATTTGGGTTATGAAGGAGCCTCCATAAACACTAACCCTGTTCTGTCAGTGTGTATGTGATAGAAAAGCACTTACAGATGTGCTCACAAAACCAGCATCACGGCAAAAGATTAACAACCTCACTTAACCTCTGTCTGTTAATGCATTCCTGCATCATCTATGTATGCAAGTGACTTTTGAGATGTCACACACACCCCCCCCCCCGACACCAGTCCTAGAATAATCTTTTTCAATTCCACGTTTTCTACTTTGTAAGCACTCTCCGTATTTGTCCCATAAATTCCCCAGCATGTATCAATGATGCTAAATCCCGCTCAATGTTTTAATGCCACACTGTATCAAAATGCGCCGTACTCTACGAGGGCAGGCGAGCG